TTGTTCAGCCACAAGAATGCATGAAATTAGTTCAAAATATTTTTGAAAACCCTTTTCTCTATATTGTTGTTGTAGGAGCGCATTTGATGTATGAAAAGTAGATAATGTTTTCTCTAACATATCTTCATCAGTAATATTTTATCTGCACAATTTCAATTGAGAACTAATTCCATATACTACAAAGTTATATTCAATTACTGATTTAAAATCTTGTAAACGTAAATGCATCCAATCATAACGAGCTATAGGAAGAATCACAATTTTCTGGTGGTCATACATTTCCTTCAAATTTTCCCAAAGAGTAAATGGATCTTTTACTGTAAGGTATTCAGTTTTCAATCCTTCGTGGAGATGATGTCGGAGGAAAATCATGGCTTTAGTCTTATCTTGATTGGATGATTCATTTCCTTCTTTGATGGTGTCACCAAGATCCATAGCATCTAAGTGAATTTCAGCATCAAGAATCAATGACAAATAATTCTTGCTCGTAATATCAAGAGTCACAAATTCAAGTTTCGTAAGATTTGTTATGACAAATTGGCAAATGGAAAACTTCAACTCCAAATTTGATAAGAGATAAAAACTTGAAACTTGATGAGAATTTTTTTTTCCTTTGACAAATTGATATGACTAGAGACTTGTACTGATAACGTATAATAAAATAAACTATAAGAATGTTTATAAGAAGAGAGAAGGTAATTGAGGGAAAATAAAACCAATGCTTTTCTTATTTTAAAGTTGAGTATACATCATCTTTCATAATATATCTATCAATAGTCTCAAGATTATGAAATATTATAAATGAAATTAAAAGCTAATAAAATGCTTTGATATTGTAAAATTTGAAAGGTTTAAGAGTTAAAGAACATAAAAGATCAGGAAATTATAGAATTATAAGGGACACCCACATTTATTTATAACAATTTTTATCTTTCCATGTATTTTACTTGTGGCTGTTAATGAACAGAGAGAGAGACCAACAGAAACTTCTGGAAACCCCATGATTCAAATTCAAATATGAAAAAGCTTTTTGTTCTGTCCACCACGCGTCCTCCTTCCGTTGGTCCCACCACCTTGTTCCACGTGGGTGCTCTACCACGATTTTTGCCGTTACGAAATTGCGTGATTACTTGCACAAATTACTGATTACTAATTATAATTCCAACATTAATATTCTTTAAATCCCCACTCTCACATTAATTCCACGCGCCTCAACAATAATGAATTCAAAGCAATTCCTTCCCGGCCAATGCGTCAATAAATAAAACACCTTTCAGTTTCCTTAAATTAAACCCCTTTTTTTATAAGGTACCGCGTTATTATCAAAATTTCACTAATCTATTACTATGCGACGTCGCATTTATAGAAACCTGATTTGTCGCGTGAAATTAGAAAAGAGTGGGACCTAGTAGTAAAGCAGCTGTCAACAAACCTATAGAGTATAGACAACCTGGAAAATTCGGGCAGCTGCCCAATCAACTGACACGCTGCCCGAATTTGTCTATTTCTCTCACAAGAGTCACAACAGCCTATAAATGAATAAACCCTTCAATTTCTTTCTGCCACAAAAATTTACCACTTCACATCACAAGCTTCTCTATCTGTTCACCGAAATCCTCTGAAACGACTCTCATAACTCAAAAACAAAAAATGGCTTTTTCAAAGGCTTCAGTGATCACTTTCATGATGGCGGTGGTGGTAGCTGCCATGGCTCTTGGTGGTGCTGCTCAAGAAGCAGTGTCTCCTGCTCCAGCACCTCACTCCGGAACCGGCTCGATCTCGTCTTCTATGGCCTCTGCTGGGTTGGCTCTCGTCGTGGCTCTTCTTTTTGGTTCTACTCTCAGGATCTAAATGGCAGTTACAGTATGTTTGATGTGGCATTAGCTTAGAGGATTTGATCTAGGGAGTGGTTTCCTTTTTTTTATTTTAAATAATTTAATTAGGATTTGTGGAGTTTTGTGACTGGTAGATCTAGTGTTTTTGGAGTGAGTATATATACTATATGGAGTATGCGACGACGATATTGTGTGGTTGCGTTGGCCCTTAGTATTAGTATATAATAAGAGATTTATTGTATTTGGTGCTTCATTTCTATATATTTGAATCGTATTTTAATATTTTTATGAATTATTTGAATTTTTTTTTTAATTTAGTTTGATTAATTATGACTCCTTGTCCTTGTGTTTGGTTGTGGAGGAGAAATGAAAGACGAAGGAAAAAGGAATTTGATTAATAATATAAATATATAATTCTGAAACATTGACTCAGCATGTTTTTCAATATCAATGACAATAATTGACCAAGTGAATATATGCCATTCACATGACCTGCCAACTTGCAGTATTGGTACGTGTCATTTTTCCAATTCCTGCATTATTATTAATTTTATGAGAAGATTTTTATATGCCATTCACAGAGTGGATTAGGTGAGATTACAATTTTTATATTCACACCATTTAGTAGTTATCACCCTTTCATCACCGTGGAAGACATTTAGATCATGAATTTGCAGCCAGCTCTTTTCCTGTCGTTGAATTACATGTCTTTTCGTCTCTGCGTCTTTGACTCCTTTCGCCTTCCTATTCTTACCAATTCAGTTTTAAAGTAAATGGGAAATCGGCAATTAGTTTCAATCAATTCAGGATTTTTCTTTAAAATGAAATTACATAGAAGTTTAGAAGAGGTCAACAATGTTTGACCCTCTTTTCTCTTTTCTGATAAATTGTTCGGTCAGTTTGCACTTTGCATTACTTCAATTAATTTCTTTAGAATTGGTCTCCAAAGTGGTTTGAACTTATGCACTATTTCAATTAATCTCTTTAGAATTTGTCTCCAAACCACTTTGAACTTATGCATTACTTCAATTAATCTCTTTAGAATTCGTCTCCAAAGTGGTTTGAATTTAAAAAGTTAAGGCAATGAACAAACATTTTTAACCAAAAAAAAATACAAATAAAAATTGACCCCCTTTAAAATGCAATTAATTTAACGTTCCAGCGCATGATTAGGGGCGCATTTTGATACATTATTCTCCTTTTTCGAAGCAGCATTTTCGTTTTGACACATTATTCCTCCTTTTTTGTTTTTGGTTTTCCTTGGCATCGAAAGTCTCCTCAATTCCCGTTTCTCTTTTGCTGTTTTTTTACGTATGATAATGTGAATGTACTTTGAGTTTGTGGGTCCTGCTCCCATTAAACATTTCTTCAAAGGCCACTATTAATGTGACTGCTCATTACCATACATAGTTTCTGGTCATCCCGTGCTTCTTGTATCGTCCTATAACAATATCATGAAACCAAAAAAAAAAAAAAAAATTTGAGGTCGAATTTTTTATTAAATATGCATTAAAGAAATATTAATTTTGTTAATACAAAAAAATTGCATTAATAAAGAAATAATAGAAACAAAATTATTATTAATTTAAAAATAAAGGAAAAGAGTATATTGAATTTTATAAAAAATAGTATAGGAAAATAGAGAATTTAAACCACTTATTATAATTAACAAATATTTTTTTATAAAATTAAAATAATAATAATAATATATAACAATTTTAATTTTTTTTTTTAAATACAGTATTTCCAAAATCCTCCACTTCTATTTCACTCAAGAAATGGAGTTGTTTTAACATATACCGTCAGATCACATAAAGTCTGATAGATCATAGACTGATAAAGAAAATGTTACTAAAGTTTTGTTTAAAATATTCAAAATCAATGGGCACGAAGGCTTTCTGAAGACATCTCTTCTTAACAGCGGTCCAAAATGTTGCTTCCCTTACATCAAATCAATACTGTCCCGCCGTTTGCAGCAACAAACCAGGGTTACCCCACAGTGATTCAAATTCTTTGGCCTATTTGCCTAATGCCGCCACCACACCAGCCATATCAATCAACACAAGATATTAGATATTTACGAACGTAAGAACTAAGAAGCAAGTATCTTGTTAAGAAGCAAATATCTTATTGCTTGTATTACTAAAAAAATTTGAATTCAAATCCTTGTGACTATTAATAAAAGATAACTATTCCAAACTTATCTAATTCATTAATTTCAAAATCTCAAAAGATTAATTGAGATACCTACAAATTAATCTGAAAAAAAATAAAAAAATAAAAAAATAAAAATAAAACAATGATAATGAAAGTATAATAGATATATATGGAATTTTAGAGTAAACGACATATATTCCCACCCAAAGTTTTGCAAAATCCTAGGTTGGTACCCTAGGTTTTATAAATTTTAAATTCTCACCCTTAAATTAGGGGTGTTCAAAATAACCGGTTGGAACCGAAACCGACCCGACAAGTATCCTGGGTTTGGTTTCGATTCTTACCCAGAACCAATCGTCAATGGGTAGGTTCCGGTTTTAAATTTTTGGAACCGTTACTGTGCAGTTCCGGTTCTGGTTCCTATAGTTAGGAATCGAAACTGGAACCAGAAACCAGGAATAGAGATTAATATAAAATAAAATTAAATATTAGGGGAGTTAATAAAAACTTTTGTAGAAAAGTAACGTGAATACATTTATATTTATATTTCATAACATTTAAAGTGAGTTGGTTTGACTTTTGAGAATTTAAAGTAATAGAATTTGTGATTTTGAATTTATAATTTATAATTTTATTTTTGTTAACAAGTGCCTGGGTGGGTATTGTAAGTTTTTAAGGGTTTTTTTTGCCATTTTAAAAACTTTTGAGGGGTCATTGTGATTTTACAAGATACCCAGATCTAGAACCAAAACCATTGTTACAGGTTCTGATTTTGGATACCTAGGAACTGAAACCGTCGGTTCTGGTTTCGATTCCTTTAAAAAGTGCAGAATACCCAGAACCGAACACCCCTACCTTAAATAGATTCCATTTTATTTTTTTAACCCTTAAAGGCTTAATAGATATGGATGGAATTTTATCATTTCATTCTTCCAAGGGTTAAAAGTGTGAAGATTTACACAAGTCAACATTTCTCAGAAAAAAAAAAAAGAAAAAAGAAAAAAAAACCAACGCCTTTGATCATCCTCTTCATTATCTTTCTCCTAACAAATACAGCCTACACCGGGATTCCTCTTATTCTGAATCTGAGTCCATGTTACCCATTGCCTTTAAACCTCTAGGTCTCTGCATCAGACAAAATCAATAAGCTTCAACTAAAACTATAATTGAATTTGTGGGTTGTCTTTATAAGCTTAACTACCTTTTTAGAAATCTTCTTCTCCCTCACTTCATACCGTTCAAGGGTTAGATCACATAACCATGCACCTGGGCTTACCAACTGCAAAAATAAAACATACAAAAATGTCAAGCAAAAGAGAATCATTTAAAGTACCATTGTGCTTTATTTTATGAAGTTGAGGATCTCATGCCTTTAATTTATTTTTTTTAAAATGCTTTCTTCAAAATAACTTAGAAAAGGAATCTTCAACAGTAATGGCATTTAAAAACAATCATATGCAAATTGTGCTTTCTCCTCCCAGTTAGTGTGGTCCAGGCTGGACCAGACAGGAACCCACTATCTTAAATTATTATTATTATAAAATAAAAAATAGAATTGAAGAAGAAAAGCACATTCACCCCACCCAACAATCCACATATATTACAGGAATGCCCGCAATAATGAGCAAAGGGCCGTCCTGTCCTTTGCCCATTCTGTCTCTTTGTATCTTTATTTAGACCTTACTTTGTTGATAAGTCTTGTGTTGTCTACTTAATCACTATCGTCCACGTGTTCACCGATCCACAGTCCACCTAATCAGATACCAACATAAAACAACTGTACCACAAAGTTCCACTTTCCCATACCCTAACAAGCTAGCAGCCAGCTTTTGTCTGGGAACGTATTCCCTGACCCCACTTATTCACCCTCTTATTTTAAAATAAATAAAAATTATGTAAAAAAACCCAGTAAATAAAAATAAATCTGATTTGAAAGGCAAATTATTGTTAACATCAATCTGAAAATTCAATTCATGTTAAACAAACCTAATCAGAGTCTAGATTTCAATTGATCTGAGTGATGGTCCCAGTCCCACCGCAAAAAAAAATTATCTCTAATTTTTCGCACCCAAAATAGGACTTGGTCACTAAGACGCTAACGAACTTTAGGTCATTATTAGGTACATAGTCCAAGCTTTGATTGACACGTGGATATGTATATCTCACTTGTCACTTTACACAGTTTTATCTATTTTTTAAATAACAAAAAATAATAATAATAAAAAGCAGACCATAGTTTCACATATATCACACTCCGACCCAACAACCAATTTATAGTATAACTGCTAACATCCTTAAAAACCGTGTTCTGTTCCACCCCAAAAAATATCACCCTGCTGTTACTCACTTGTACCTTGTGCTCTAAATGTTATACCTCAACTTTTCCAATAATATTCTAATTCTAACCCATTTTATTTTCTTTTCAGAATAATTTAATCAAAACTTGAATCCTGATTACTAAAACAAGCTCAAAGATCTAAAATACGATGAAAACATTAGAAGGCTTACATTGAGAGTGCGTTGAATAAATTTTGCTCTCTTTTTGGGTCTTTGTGGGAGCTTAGAGCCTTTAATGGCCATGAAATCCTCTTCTTTTTCTTTGTTGGTCAAAGCAATCACGAATTTCGGTGGCCAAACAGATGGTGCCGCCTCGCCGCTGGCAGAAGAAGACCCTCCTTTTTTGCTGTCGTGGGCTGTTTCCGATGATGCCCCTGACTTGTTGTAATCATGATTATGATTATTGTTGTTGTTGTTGCTGGTGTGATGGTTATTGTTTCGGGTACCTCTCTTATCGTGCGCTCCCCTATCTGGAGACGCAAAACCTCTCACACCACCACCGTTGCTTTGCCCTCTCATGGCACTTGAATTCTCAGTGTTCCTAAGAATAACACAATTCACATACGCATCAAATAATTTGGCAAAGCATGTGAAAATATTGGAAAACAATTAAATTAAGTAAAGTACTTTGGAAAAGTAAAAAAAAAAAAAAAGTTGTGTCCCAGTGAATTTTGTAGTGGGAAAGTACGAAAATAACCTCGGAGTGATCTAAATTACAATCTGGACGAGTATTGCGTGAAAATGGGGGTGAGGTTTTGGCTTTCTTTGAGGAGACTTTGGCTTCCGCTTTTAAATGGGAAGCGTTGCTAAATTCAGTTTCTAGGAGAAAAAAAGCTAATGTTATTTGGATCTAACGTCCACACCTGGGATTTTAGGCCGTTGGATCAATTTCGCCTTTTGGAGGTTAAGGCTACGTGTTAAATTTTGGGTAGGCATGTAGGATAAAGCGGACCAGATTCCTTAACAAGTTACAATCGACGGCTGGAAATTTGTGGGAATTATAAAATGGGCTTAACTGGACACGTGGCACAGAACTCATTCATATCATATTTCCAATGAAACTATCTTACATATACGCGTATGGGATATAATCAAACATGATCAGTTGTAGATAAACTAGCTACAGCCTACAGCCGACGCCAATGCTAAAAGCCAAAATAGATAGCTAATAATTATTCAAACCATCTATTCAAAACAAATCTAAATACTCACAATTAGCAGCCAAAAATAAACAAATAAATAAATAAATATATTTTCCACAGCTAACACTTCCATATAGAGAAAATGCTGACCTTAGTTTATATAGAATTGCAGAATTTATACCCCGAAATACAAGAAAGAAGATTCAAGTAAAAGCTAACAACTTGAATCATGAGTATCAATTCTAGTATTCAAGTGCGCTGGATCTAGACACTTCTAATGCATGTAATTACACAGAACTGAGAGGATTTTTTTTCAGCGAATTGTCTCCTACAGTTTAGTTGGACTCAAATTCCTAGAGAGTAAGCATACAAAGATGGCGCTCTCAAGCACTTACCATGAGCTCTCCTTCTGAAAACCATTATACACTTGGACCAACCTGACCAATTTGAGAGTGGACAAATAAGAGCCTCATAAATATTCAGCCCAAAAACATATATATGCTTAAAACGTTCATGGTCGGTACAATTATCAAATCATCTAACTAACCTCTCTCTAATGCAATAACGTTATTTGAGGCTGAAATGTTATAATATGAGACCCATATGGTGCCATCAAAAACTGGTACAAGGACCATGTGTGCAAAGTGCAAACCTTTAAGAGTCAATGGCGCCAGCTCTGTATTCTTATCCTGTTATCCATTCCAGTTTCTACTACTTGAAGTAGATAAGATAAAAATGTCAATCAAAGTATCAAACACTGCAACTGACACACTTTCCCAACTATGTAGACAATCCTATAATCACGTAACTGAAACACGATCATTAAAGTTCTTCATCATCATATATAACATTTAAGTCATGTCAAGCGACAAGTACCCCAAAGAATAGTATGTACCACAGTACCAGTACCAACAACAATTAATGAAAGGAACTTCACCAACCCCCTATTCCAACAATCAATTAAGGAATTTACCACGTTCTCAAACCATAAAGTAAATCATGTTTCTAATAGTAAAAATTATTTATTTCAGAAATAGTATTTTTAAACAAAAAAAAAAGGGGGACCCATTAAATGATAGTAGATCCGGATCTTTTTCCGCGCCAATTTGATTAGAAACCTACCAAGAATAACCTATCAGTAATCTAATAACACAGACCCAAAGCGCGTCATGGGTCCACGCGCAACCGATCCGATTATCCCAATTCCCAACGGCAGACTCACACCAATTTCCTAGCAAACACCACCCCGTTCATAAGAGAGAGAATTATGGAAAGTTGAAACCAAGAACAAACGCCCAAGATCTACTATCTCATCGGGCAGTCTTTAACACGCACCGAAGAAATCGCGTATACATGTCTAAAGAAATTAACGGAAAAAAACTCATCCAACTAATATAATAGTACCTGAGAATGCGCTGAGGAGGCGGAGGTGGAGGCGAAGAGGGCCGTTGACGGAGATTAAAGTAACCATTACCGTGGTTATTACTACCATTAATATTATTAGCAGTAGCAGTGCTCGGCTGAATGGAAGTGTCCTTGTCAGTTCTGACGACCCGAACCGTTGTCCGATGGGCCGGGGCTGCCGAGTCGTCCTTGACCTGTACTTTCATGCACCGGAGCCTCTTCCGGTTACCCCATTGCAAGACAAAATCAGTCGATGTCGCTTGCCTTGTGTTAATCTCTGAGCTCGCTCTTAATAACCCACCGTCCCCTCCGCTTCTATCTCTGCCGTTACTGGTAATACCGCTACTGGTACCGTTATTACTGCTTCTCAAAGGACTCTTTTCCATCTCCTTCTGTAGACCTGTCCCATTCCGAACAACATCAACAATTATAACTAAACTACGATTATTTTCTGTAATCAAAGGTTAACTTGGACCGTTAGGGTGGTAACAAAGAAGGGAAGAAGACAATTTGGTTATGGCTTTCCCTTTCCGGCAAAATCCGCAATTGGGATTAAAATTTAAATTATAAAAGGATAAATACAAATATGTGATAGTTGTAAAAGATAGCATCTGACGGCTTAGAATTTCCCCAAAAATTCAAATAGAGAATAACCTTATAATAAACACAATAAAAAAAATTCAAAAATGAGTTAAGGTTGTAGAAGACGAGCACCAGAAAGCAGAAACTTATTGAGGAAGAAAAAAAAAACTATAAGAACAATAGGCCGGATGAGGCAACGAAAATGGTTAATATGAGAATTCTTTAGGTGGAATAATAAAATTACTCCAAAAATATACGCACAAATTACAGAGGATCTGAGGAAGAGTAAGGACAGAAAATACAGTACAAAGAAATAGAACAAAATAATTTTCTGAGGAGAAAGAAAAATGATTTAAACCAAGCTAAACAACCCATTTGGTTGAATGATTTAAGTTTTTAGATGAAGAAACGGTTTCAAGATGTTATTTTGCCTCAGTTTTCTTGGTAAACAGACGAGGCGTAGCTGGAGAAAAGACTGTACAGCAGCCATCGAGTGAAAATCCAAGAGGAGACTGAAGAAAATTCACCGTAAAATGGGAAAAAAAAAAAACCATCCCAGAAAGAGAGAGACCAAGTCAGAAGAATCATATCGACTTTTTAAATTAAAAATCGAATCAACAAAATATTTCGTCAAAACAGGTCGAATTGATCCTCCGACTGAAATTTATGGCAAGCATGGCCGGAATGCCTGAAAACTCAGAGCCCAGCTGAGCTTAGTTTCGAAAACCGAAATAGGAAGAAAAGAAATAAAATCAAACACAGAAGCCGATTCGAAACTGCAACCAGGGAAAACCATTCTCAAGTCAAATTGAGAAATTCTTGTTTATATCACACGACTCCATACCTCCAATATCACCGCACCGCCGTTAATTAACCAGTATATTGCTTTCTTTATATCAAAATTTCAACAAAATAATGACATTTCAAGGGCGTTAAATCTTCAACTCCTCTGATCTTCACTTTATATAACTGCTCCAATCTCTTTGAAAATGTATCTGCAAAACATAAATCGTAAATTCAAAAGGCTTGCATCTGGACGATGAATCAGACAGAATTAATAACTTTGTTTCGCGCTACATACCTCCGAAACTCCAACTACGTCACCTTCAATGAGTAAATTTCAATGAAACAAAGACCTATCTTCACAATCAGCGACTGTAAATCAAACAAATCTAGTACAAATTCCTTCTGAACAACCCCTTTAAATCTCTTTGAATGTATCTGCGAACAGAAAAACAAACAAATAAACAATTACCAGCCATATTTAAATAACTTTATCTCTTAAAAACAATACAAAATTACAGTTTGCTCTCATTTACACACCTCTAAAACAACTCTCTCTATCCCTACCAGATTCAGATTCTTAACATTCCTTTACAAAAAATTTGGCGAGAACTTTATCAAATTCTTGTCAATTCCCACCCAAAATCCTCTGTTTGGTTTCAGAGAAAGAAAGTGAACGAAAATTAACAGAGAAATAATAGAGGACAAACAGAACAGAACTACAGAGAACTTCTTCTTCTTCTTCTTCTTAAGATAAACGAAATACCCTCTCTCCCTAACAAACCCAGTTTTATACCCCATTCAGACTCTCCGTTCAACACCGAGCATTTCTGACCTTTAATCAGCAATCAGACGCTCCTGATTACTCCTCTTTCAAACCGTCAAGTCCCATCTATTATGAAGTTATCATGTGCCCGTGGCAAATATAAATTACCTCACGGAGTTTATCGATCTAACAGAATCTTTAACGACGTTGAATTTTTGTTAAATTATAGCACTTGTTTTTTTTTAAAACAATAATTTCAATTATTTTATCCGTAAATAATTTTTTTTGGAGCCGGTGGGGTGGCGCTTAGAACAGTGAATTGGCTAGGGTTAGTTAGTCAAGTGAGTGAGCTAATCATGGTTACTCTTAACCGGACTAGTGAATCTCTCACTTGGATATATCGTGTACATCAGTTTCGTTTCTTATAATTAAATTATCTGAAAACCAAATCACAAGAGTAAATGGATACCCTTTCAATTCAAATCCCTCAATTGAACTTAACATTTTTTTAAACAGATGTTAAAAAACCTCAGTTGCCGAAGTATTTATAAGATAGTTGCCGAAGTATTTATAAGATATTAATTAAGTTATTTTATTTTTATCGATTATAAACTATTTTCAAACTTATTTAAAATGTTAAAATTTTAATGTTCTTATATTGGTTTTATAAATTTGTTTTACCATTACATGAAAGATTATTCACTAACACGAGAATTTTTGAGATAATTATTGTGATTCATGTAAACAGTAAAATCTAAGGTTGAATCGAACAAGGTTAATTCAGTGAGAACAAGAGACACCGGTGTAGTATCAACCATAAGAACTTTGACACTTAAATCAACACGGTTGAGATGAATATTTAGTAAGGCTGAGAGTGGGAAAGAGTTTATCGGGAGTGTCTAGCTAATATGCGAGGCAATTACAAGAAGGTTAACCTCTTTATATAGTGAGCTACTGAAGTTTGAGTTCTTGTAGAATTATACGTTACCATAATAGGAGTTTGAGCAAATAAGAAACTAGTAGTCCTAATCCATGCAGAAGTAAAAGTATTAGTTCTGTAAGATTAGAAACCTTTGATGAACTTGGAAGTAAATATAACTCTTAATCCTATTGTGAGTGAATATGGGCTAATGGATTAGAGCCTAATTTAGCTTAAATGGCAGAAATGCCCAACCCGTGAAGTGGTCCAAAATATAAGTTAATCTAATTTAATCGTAGAGTGATCTAACTCGTGAAATAGCCTAACTTGTGGAGATGGTTGACTCGTGGTGTGGATTAGCTCGTAGAATGGGTCAACCCATAGAATGAATATTCTTACAAAATGAGTCATCCCGCTAGATGGTCTTTCATCATGATGGATTTAAGTATAGACCCAACCGGAATTAGGTTAAAGCACTAAGCTGTATATAGTGTTTACTTCGTTATTGGGTCTGATAAGTTCTAGTACGAATTTTGGCTTATACAATACATAATTGTTAAAGAAATCATTTTCTAAAAACTCTTTTTTCACAACCATTTCATTTTACTTAAATTTAGGTAAAAAAATTGTTTGGTCTTTTGAATTAAAAATTTCAGATTTAATGGTTTGATGCACTTTAAGCAAACATAATGATAAAAATGGACTATTAAAAAAATTTGATTTTTTTTTTAATAGTTTTAATTAATTGGTAACTAAAATGACACTTAAAAATGTTAAGTTGAAATAGATTTAACCAATTATTAAAGCCAATTAAGAATACTAAATAAAAAATATAGTATTTAAACCAATTGATTTTTAATAATTTAGAACATGTTTCACTATAATTCGTCTCAAATTCCAACTCTTAAATTTATAGTATTTACATAAATAAGCATATTTTCTGTTATAAATTAATAATTAGTGTTTAATAGTCTTAAAAGTGATTATAGATAAATAATACTGACATTTTGTTATGCCAATAACCTAAAATCACTTGTGAGGTGTCATTTGGAGCTGACGTGGAATTCTTGTCACTTTAATCTTGAATTATTTAATAATTAATTTTAAAAATTATAAATAAACACTCCTTTTAAAATTGTTGTGATTTTTAGAATCCACAATTATATGTTTGATAAAATAAAATTTTAATTCCTTGATGGATGTATAATAGCAGAAAAGGAACATGTTTCATTTCCTTGATATAGTTATTAATTTAATTTATTATTTAAGAACAAATTAATAATTTAAAAGAAATTAAAATAAAACTGGACTGGGGATGTACCCGGACCGGCCACTGCAAAAATAGACCCACTGGGGATGTACCCGGACCGGCCACTGCAAAAATAGACCCACATACAATAATAAGACAGCATTGCCTGAAGTCCTTGCTTTTATGTAAGGCCCACGATGGACCAAATAAGAAAGTAGTGGCCCTTGATAAATTTCAGAGTTTTTTTTTTAAGTTCAAATACCTGTATTATACATTCATAATACATTAAAGAAATGAGACTATTGTAATTTAAACAAATATTATAATTTATTTATTTTAAAGAAAATTGGAAGTAATTATTTTTATAAAAATATATTATCAATAATAATGCAAATAAACTGAACTTTCTCTATATTAAGGATTTTAACTACATTAGTTAATTAATTGTTATTTAATACAAATATTCATTATAATTTAAAAATAATAATATTCGTTATATTTAAAATATTTCATAATAAATATCTGCACAGTCCTTATCCTTGTAGAATAACCTGACAACCCTCGGATCAAAAAGTTCGTAAATATATAACCCAAGCAAACAGAAGGGAGGTTATTTTTGTCCAGAGAGTTGTCCCCTGAATCAATCCGATTAGGGTTCTTCGTCGAAGCTAGTAACATCAAAACACAGAACAATCAAACCACGCGGTTCCTGTAAACCACTGCACACCAGGTACGTTGCACGCGTTTCTCAATTTCTCATTAACGCGTCGAATTTGAATCGCGACGTTTCTTACTGAATTTTTTCTCGCTTGCACGACCTGGATCGTGACCGTTAGATCTATACTTTTGAACTTGGAGTTGTAATTGTGATTAGATATGTACAACGGCATCGGGTTACAGACCCCGAGAGGGTCCGGGACCAACGGTTACATTCAAACGAACAAGTTTTTCGTCAAGCCGAAGACGGGTAGGGTTACTGACAACACCAAGGGTTTCGAGGCTGGTCAAGGCACGGCTGGCGTCACTAGGAAGGCCAACAAGGAGATCCTCGAGCATGAGCGTAAACGTCAGATTCAGCTTAAGCTCGTGGTGCTCGAGGACAAGCTTGTTGACCAGGGTTACACGGAGGCCGAGATTGAAGAGAAGCTTGAGGAAGCTAGAAGGACGTTGGAAGCCGCCTCAGTTTCTGAGGAAAGTGGTGGAGATGCAAAGTAATTATTCTATCTCAATCTTTATGTTAAATTGCTTTTTCACATGCTAGTTATGGGAATTGGTTTGGTTTTATGGAAATTATGTGTTGATTGACTTTGCCTTTCCTTTCGGCTACAAGGTGATTACTGTTGTCTTCCTTGTTGGCTTTGTTCTGGAGGCGTAGATGTAATTCAGACTGGGAATTATTGAAGGGGAATTGTTTTTAATATTTCTCCTTTGTTCTTGACTCTGGAAAATTCTTGTGTATTCATATCTTTCTTTTAGGGTTTTTTTTCTTTTTCTTTTTTTTATTTTAGGTAAAGGAAGGAGCAAAAGAAACATTCTTTTCGTTCAATTCTACTTATGCGAGTTGTTGGAATGTTGTACGCAAAATTGTTTTCTAATTAGAGAAAATTTTCAGATAGGTTATGCTTAAGAATCATTTTTTTATCATTAGCCTTGCCATTATTGTTTTTATCATGTGCGTTTATGGAAGCTCACAGTTTTCTTTTAGTCTTGCTTATTTTATTTTCTATTTAATTTATATAGGCCATGTGTATTCACGCAATTGTCTTCCTAGAGTTGTCAACTCTAAATTATAGTTTTTACTGTGGTTCTTTTTTCAGGTTTAGTTGGAAAATGGTTTATGATTCAAGATGGACAATAGTTATTATCATTTTTATGCTTGTGATTTGGTTTGATGTGCTAGAAGATTATAATGATAACCTTTTATTGTCATGGGTTATTGATTTGGATTATATATTTTTTTGCTTGATCAGGGTGTCTGCAACAGAAACTCACAAAATTGCCGCTAGAAAGGAGAAGCAGATGGAACAATTTAGAGCTGCTCTTGGTATAAGTACGGCTGAAACTAATGAGAGAGCTGGAGGAGGGGACGATGGAACAGGTGGTCCAAAGAATGGTTTGAATGATGATAGCAATTGGCTTGAGAAAGGTGAACATGCTTTTTTGGATAGAGAGACCAGCTGGAAGAGACATATAGCAGAAGATGGAAAAGCTGAGAAGGATGATAAGAAAAAGGTTGATAAAGATGTGAAACATAAGAAGGATGAGCCTCGGCGCCACAAGGGAGATAGTAGAAAGAGAAGACATAGGGATGATTCTTCTGATTCGGATAGCAGTAATAAGCATAGCGAAGGGATTTCAAAGAAGCATCATAAACGTAGCCTGAGGAGTGATTCTGAGAATGAGACTGATAGTGACCATGGTAAGAAAACAAGTAAATCTTCAAAGAAGCACAAGAAAAGCAGAAAAAATTTAAGTGACAGTTCTGATTCTTCTAGTGATGATGATGACATTGGTAAGGTTAGTTCCAAAAGGAAAGTTGATAAATATGGAAAATCTCATAGGAGGCATGATTCGGATGATAGTTCTGATTCTGATGAAGGCTTCTATAAACAGAAGACTCAGAAGGGGAAGCAGAATATAAAAACAAGAGCACCACATGATTCTAAGGATGACTCTGATACCAGCAGTGGGATGGAAAAGAAAAGAAGTCAAATTGGAAAACAGAACTATCAGCAGGGTGGAAGCCATAGGAGAGAGGGAGAAAATTCTGATGTGAAGCCTCATAGGAAGAGCAATAATGATAGATATGGAAAAAGCTCTAGAAGTAAGGATGATGATGACTTGGTAAAAAGGAGCCATAAGAGGAATGAGTCAGATGATGATTCTTCTGATGCTAGTATTGATGAAAAAATTGAGAAGGGTAGGAGAAGCAGGAGACATGATTCTGGTGAAGAAGATTCAGATTCCAGTTATGAGAGAACAAGGTCCAAGGCAACTGAAAAGAAGTCATCTTCTCTGACTGATGACAGTGATAACAGTGACTCTCATAAAGGAAGCAGTGACAGTGATTCAGACAATAGTGGGAGTGATGACAGACATGAGAGAAGTGGGAAAAACTCTCTGGGTAAAAAAAGAAGTGGACGTGGAGATGCTGTTAATGATAGAGGTGGACAAAGTGGTCCTGGATCAAGTCTTGCTTTAAGTGACAGAAGGCGAGGAAGAAGTGATCTTGACAATGATGTCGCATTAGAGACATTGAAAAAACTAGAAGAGAAAAGTCTGCACCATTATAGGGGAGATGCTGGGGATAGGTATAGATCCACCTCTGGACATGAGGAAAGGATGGCAGGTAAGAGGAAGTTTGATGACGGAAACAGGGAGGAGCATACGGAATCAAAATTAAGAAGTCGGATTGTTGGGAAGGACACTGAGCACAAAGATCATCCTGCAGATGTGAACCTTGAGTCTGAAATGGGCTCTAGACTGTATAGAAACAAGGATATTCAGAGGGTGGATGATTGGGATTACAAAGAGAATGCAGGGGGAAGAAAGCAAAGCAGGGATAATGGGGAGCGTAAGGAGAGAAAGTACCAAAGAGATCAGGAAGAGCATGCTGGGGGAAGAAGGCTCAGTAGGGATGAAGAAGAGCGTAAAGAGAGAAGGCACCAAAGAGATGAGGAGGAGAATGGAGGGGGAAGGTGGTATAGCCGAGATGAAGAGGAGCGTAAAGAGAAAAGGTTCCGAAGAGACGAGGAAGAGCATGTAGGGGGAAGAAGGCACAGCAGGGATGAAGAGGAGCGTAAAGTGAGAAAGCGCTATGAAGATGAGGAAGAGCATGCAGGGGGAAGGAGGCACAGCCGGGATGAAGAGGAGTGTAAAGAGAGAAAGCGCAATGATGATGAGGAAGAGTATTTAGGTGGAAGAAGGCACAGCAGGGATGAAGAGGCGCGTAAAGGGAGAAAACACCAAAGAGATGAGGAAGAGGATAGCAAGTATAGAAGGCATGGAGAATATGATGAAGGGCTTCATCAGGGTAGTCGAAAGCATGGAAGAGGGGAGGAAGATGAAAGAGGAAGTAAAGGTCGTGAGCGTGAAAAACAATCTGATTACTCCAAAAGAGGTAGATATGATGATTCTCGGTCAAGTGAGAGAAAGAGGTACAAAGGTGATGATGATTGGGGCAGATATTGAGACTAGAGATTCTTTATGAGATTCAGAGTATAGCTGGTGAGTGTTTTTGTTTATAATAAACTATATTTAAATTTGTTAAACAAATGTCATATTTCACAAGTTTAAGCTAGAAGATGCCAATTTCTAATGCGTTGTACTCTGCTAAATTTGATTTTTAAACTTAATTACTGTAATTTCGGCAGAATTCTATCATTTGCTTTGTTTTGTGGTTTCTTTTTCTTGATTGAAGTTTTAAATGGATTGTTACAGCCTTGCCAAACCAATGATTGTCTTGATTTTGTGGGTTTATTTTTCCTGATTGAAGTTTAAATGGATTTTTTACAGCCTTGCCAAACCAATTCCGACTAAGTAGACATTCTTCAAGAGCTGAACGAGTTCATTAAGGTTTAGGGAGGTGGAAACTCTGCTGCATGTATTGGGTGATACAGAGCAACTGTTGATTTCTATGAGAGGTTTTTGATCTCTCATACAGTTATCTTGTACCAGTTTGTGAAGGCGTATTGCTGAATAAGATTTTCACTCTTTGTTGAATGAATGTGTACTTAGTTTATTATGCTAAGGTTACAGTGGGGAATGCTCGTGGCTTGGCTGGAAAACTTGGGTGACAAATATTACTTGCTATCTCACAATGTACTTGGTTTGATCTAAAGGGAAATGAAACCCTGAGTAATATGTTTTGATATTGGTAGATGATGATGATCTACATCTACCTGGTTTTGTTGTCTTTTAAGGATTTTATTATTTTAACATAAAACTTATTCCATGTTGTGAGAAACATGATTCTAATTCTTGAATCATAGTATAGATGATAAGAGTTTTGAGTATTATAATTTAACGAATGGTGTTATTATTTTGAATATAACGAAATGCTTAGTCATCCTTTAATCGATCCTGGAAGAGCTTAAACTGGCAATGGCAGCAGGCCAGCAGCTTGCATTATGGCTCTCTTGACAACGATTTTTATCTGCTCTGCTTCTACTGCTAAGCCCATGGATACTTAAGAGATTGTTAACATGTTATACATCTCCCTAGAATTACTGGCTGGATTTTTTATTTTTATTTTCATTTTCTCAAACGATTCCAGTTGGCTGCAAATGCTCGATGGTCTTTTATAATCCTTCTCATTTGAGATATATTTCGAAAATATGTGCCTTCGGGATGGCTATGCTTTTTTCAGGTGAATCTGACGGCTGAAATATGAGGCTACATTACAATTGTTTAGAATTACAGGATATACGGTTCTGAAGATGGCACTTTTAAAAAAACATTATAATTCCAAGCTTCTAACAATGTGTCCTTACTCGTCAGTTCTTAAGCCTCAGGGACAAGGCTCAAATCTGTGCCCGTTTTGAACATGCCTGCCACTCCCACTGGGAAAACATGTGGGCCAATATTGATATGAAAGACGAAGGTAAACATAAATTTACGTGCATACATTTGAAATATGCACTTTCGAATAACAACTGCTGTTCAGCAGAAAGGGGGTCCAAACGTCATATTTACACCAAGCAATCACAAGAGCAATCAAAATACATTAAGGTTATAGTCTGTATATGTTAACACACTGACACTATCAGACCCATGAACTGGCTTTATCATATTTGCACAGTTCTGCACCATTTATGCACTGAACCCTTTGTGGAGAGAACTCCAAGGATTCAACGGAATGCTGACACAAGCTTGTTCAGATGCTTCAGCCATCTTCTCCTTCTGAATTCCTGCGTTGCAAATGTTTGCAAGAGAACGCATATGTTTCATTCCATATTGGGATAGGGATCCACAGTGCGTCTCGAAAGTCCTGACCTGCATAGCGTAGTATGGCACAAGTTTTCAATGATTAAACTAGCCAGAATAAACCCTTTCTCAATAGCAGAAAATTTTCATGTTTCCAAAAATGCACCATCAGCAGAACTGGATTATATATGTTGAACAACATAGGAAGAAATAGGCACAAATATGAACAAAAAGGTTTAAAAAGAAGTTTACCAGCGATTTCAGGCAGTCCCAGTCATCCACTAGAGGTTGACCTGCCTGTCGAACAGTGTTCAAGACCTCTGGACCTTTCTCAATTCCAAATAAGAGCTTCCCAACGAGTTTGACGCTGTGGTCTATATGCACTCTATGAGACATTGCTTCAACAAACTGCTTCTGAGCTTCAACCTTCCTCAAAGAACCCTCAGGGGCCTTGCGGTACTGTACAAAATAAATGATAGCCCAAGTGAGTTAGGGTTAACACGTCAAAGAACCAGTTTCATAAATTATTGAAGACAGGGCCATTATTTTATCTCATTTTCCTTCACACTTTTCACATAGTGAGAATGTTAAATCAGATAATAAGATGTAAAAATTACATCCTATTGTAATCTTCCACCAACTTATTTTAGGCAAATTTAACCGTGCTCTTATTTTGCTCATCAGAGCTCCTCTCATGCTGCTTTTGGTATTCTAGAGAAATTACAGATCTAAAAGCTTCTGAAAAAATCACAAAAACCTCATGTTATCTACACCAATCTTTAAAGGAGATGAAAAACTACCAAGCATGTGTAAACCACATCATTACCATTCCATTCCAAATTAGAAAACAATACATCAATGAGATATACAAGTAATGGAATAAAAAGTACAAACCTTATCCCAGAAGTGCACGAGATCAGCATCACGCTGGTTAACAGCTTTTGAGGATGGCCTCAAGGAATTTTCGTCAATAAAAGTGTAATTATCGTTTGCAGGATTTGTACCCAAGTACAAGAAGAGATTGTCCTTGCTAAGCCCAATATCACCATATTGCATGACATGAGAGCCAAAGGCAGAATTGTCACTAGCAGTCCTCCTTTTAACCTGAAAACGCCAACATCATTCTATTGATGGTCAAAACCATTTTAAACTGGAAGGCATCCGTAACCTTCCAGGTTTGACACTATTCAGCAACCAATTATAGCACTTGTATGCACCCAATATTAGAGCCATCTGTAGATAATGAAATTCCACAAGATGATATGGTTGACAATAAGCTCTTACCAGTTCATACTGCTGGTGCAAAGTTTCTGTCCTCAGGTTGTGTATGTCACTGTACAAAAAAAGTAAGAATATTACAGTTTACACAAAACACTAAAACAGTGAATGAACTTTGGAATTTTCATTATTAAGGCAGACAATTTAACCAACCAAAGACAACCGAAGGGCTAAAATATGCCCAAATGGCAATTGTATAAAAGTTGGTCAATAAGTTGGCATGGTGCATAATTTGTATGAATGAGAAGCACATCAGCCACTTAACCCCTGTTTTTTGTATTTTATAACAGCCACTAAAATTATTCACGGGAAAGACTAGTGTGTAGATGTCCAGTCAAACCAAATAATTGACTATTTCTGATACTTCTATGACTAAGCTGCATGTTTCACTACTAGGATGAAACGAATTAAATTAAAATTGTTGCCATTAAGCTGCATGCTTCACTACTAGGATGAAATGAATTAAATTAAAATTGTTGTCATACCTGTCCTCCATCCAAGCAACACTATACAAGTCACCCAAACAGGTTTCGTATTCAGGTGGAGGACTAGGATTCTCCCCAGGGCAATAGGTCCCCCAACTGCTCTCTTCTGCATTAGATGCTGTGGTTGCATAGATATTCAAACCCTCAGGAAGAAGACCCTCAAAGATACTTCCAGATTCACAGGCTTCAAGATAAAATACCTACAGTTTTACATATGTAAATCAACAAAGTTGCAACTTTCCAAAAACTGTCAAAACACATACAGTAAACAGCAGTTCACCAATAATTACCAAGCTTTTGTAGGTCCCCAAAGCAAACTTCTTCTTTAAGACATCGATCAAATCGTTTGCATAAAGATATGGGCTGGTTGGCATCCCTTAATAGATAATGAAATAAATGTAATTCATGAAATGTTTCATTGGATTGCCATGAAGATAAAGGAAAGGAGAAAATAAAGATTTTACACTTATAACTATGCAGTTGTTTGTCCTAAATGTATGGTTCATATTAATAATATTCATAACCACCAAACCATATGTTTTTTGGGTATCCATGCAATATAACACTAAAAAAAGATGCAAATCTCCTATATAATAACATAAAGAAGAAACACCAAATTTAGTGATTGCTGCTCAACTCAAACCATAAATTAAAACATAAGATGAATACTGATCAAATACACTGAGAACAGAACACTTAATAAGAGGTAACAAGCCATGAAATCTAGTAACGAAGTTATGAAATACTAACCGAGCACCCCAGGACCTCCATGATCTGTGTAGTATATAAAAATATGATCGTTTGGACCACTATCCACAACCTTTCCGCTGCCCCCTGTTAGAGCAGTTTTGTTTCCAAGGATAGCAGCAAAGAAGTTTCCAACAGTAACATCTTCCCCAACATAATCCTTCCATAACAAAATAAACCACATCAATCACTTTGCAATATTAATATCAGATCACTGGGTTCCAGTAAACGGACAAACCAAACTAACCTTTGGAACTCCGTTGTAAACATCATCACCGTGCGGACTGTTGATGATCACTCCAGGCCTAGGGTTTTCTTCATTGGAAGCTATATCATCGTACATGAAAACAATAATATTTTCCTCTTTCAAACCGCCTTTCCTCAAGAGTTGGTAAGCGTGACAAACATCAGCCTGAAATGCAGAATTTGAAAATTAGAAAACAGATATCGCTAAATTTTGATAATTTCAAGGAATTTATATAACCTGGTGCCTGTAATTCCAGTAGCCGTTTGATCCTGCAATCAGGACCGCCCATCTCGTCCCCACAGTATCATCGTCGCCGTTGACCGCACCAGGACGGAAGAACCTAGATGCTTCTGAGGGTAATCGGAGGACGTCACCGGATATGTCTCTGGTTCCGACGACAATTCCGGAAAGGGCGGCAAGGAGCGTGAGCAACACGCTAGCTGTAACGCGCGTCATAGTCGAGGGGAGAGGATTGATTGGTGGAGCGAAATTTACAAAGGAAAGGCGGTTGCCGAGAGGAAATTTATAGTGGCGGGTCAATCACTCTTTTTTTTTTTTTAAAGATAGGGCGATTTCAGCTGGCACGTACACGTCAGCGAGAAAGAGAGAAACTTTTGTTAGGGACGGTCCCGATGCAACTGATTTTTGTTTATAAATTGTTAAATCCGGTGCATCTTGTCCGTTGGTTTGCATGACCCTTACTTTAACGGATGGATTATGGAAGCATAAGCCCATCGTTGATACGCAACGTTGTTTTATTGGCTGGATTTAACATTTTCAACTTGTCCAAGGAAAGAGCTAACTCAGCTGAGTGGAAATAGGGATGAATGTGTGAATATACAGTACTTTTGCTTTATCAATAAACATCAATTAAAAAAACAATAATTTAAAATAATTCCATAAATAATTGTCATAATTTATTATATGATGTCAAATGTGAAGGCAATTTTCAAGGCGTTTAAATATACTTATCCTTAAAAGACTGGTTAACAGTACAAGGATGTATGTAGCCTTGTAATGACTAATGATGCATTAAACAGAATTGATTTAATTTCAAAAGTGTGAATCTGTTGACCGTTTCCAAGCTCTCGTGATTTGCACACGCATGTACACTCTACCTCTTGTTATGCATTTACTTATTACGATCATTTAGAGTAAACTAACCCACCCAATGTTTGCCTTCATGACATTTTTCACCCAAATTAATATTATGTTACTATCTAAAACTGATTCTTGCAGCAAAAATTTTCTCTGTCACCACCGTCTGGACCTCCAGTTTCTTCTCTACAAAACTCCTCTCACTCTGACATCTGATTTCTCATCGATTGCTGGCCACTGCAAAGCTAGAGTTTCTTATTCTTAATTGATTTTCAACTGATCTTGACGGTAAATATTTAATCGATTACCACCATTCGATCCACCAACCTCTATTCTATAAAACCCTCTTACCCTGACTCCTGATAACTTGCCGAATGCTGACTGAGAAAGTAAAATGTATTTTGGGTATTAACGAAATATAAATGTTGGATTGGAAAGTTGTATTTTGAAACTTTATAGATGAAAAAGTGTCATTAAGACAACCCTTGGGTGGGAAAAAGTTTTACCTAAATTTTAAAGATTACATTTGATTATCAAGTAAACTAATAAAATTAAAAACTTAAAAACAATTCAAAAGTCATTGTTAATTGTATCAAACATATATAACAATGGACAATTTGTCAATTCATTACGGTATAAAAACTCTTAAGAGACTACTTGTATTATAAATTAGGTACTATATAGTCTCTATTACCGTAGAGATTATCATATTGAATAATACTATACTTATAACTGAATCATACAACCAAACAAAAAACATAGGACAAAATATTCATTTTACTTGAATTTTGTAAAATTTTTATCCGATTGTATACCTAGTTGTATGACACAGTTATAAGTATAACATTATTCTTATCATGTTTCGTGTTAGTATCTAATAGATGATCATGATTATGACATCATTTGAATGTACTCTTGAAGGTGTATTGTAGTATGTAGGGGTGTTCGGTTCCGAGTACCCTGTATTTTTTGAAGGAACCGCAACCGATGATTCCTTAAAATTTGGAACCGGAACCGGAACTAACGGTTCCTAGGTACCCAGAATCGGAACCTGTAACAACAGTTCAGGTTCCGGTTCTGGGTACCTTGTAAAATTACATGACCCTCAAAAAGTTTTTAAAATGGCAAAAAAACCGTTAAAAACTTACAAACATCACCCCCGCACACAACACGCCCCCCCCCCCCCCCCCCCCCCCAACTTGTGAAACTTGTTAACAAAATAAAATTATAAATTCAAAATTACAAACTCCATTATTTTGTAAAGATAGATTCTCAAAAGTCAAACCAACTTACTTTAAATGTTATGAAAATATATATAAACGTATTCACATTACTTTTTCTATAAAAGTTTTCATTCACCCCATACTTTTTAATTTTATTTTATTTATTCTCGGTTTCTGGTTCCGGTTCCCATTCCTAATTATAAGAACAGAACTGGAACCGGAACCGCACAGTAACGGTTTCAAAAATTTGGAATTGGAACCTACCCATTGACGGCCGTTTCTGGTAGGAACCGAAACCAAATCCTGTGTACCCGCCGGTTTCGGTTCCAATCGGTTCTTTTGAATACCCTAGTAGTATGGTATGAGTTAGATATTTTTGTGATTATATGTCCTTGTTGTGACAACATTTGGATGGATCTATTATAATAGCATACAAAAAACAAAGCAAGTATGGCCCATTATTTTTCTTGGGAGAATGAGTTGGGCGGAATCACTAGAATCATTTATAAAACAAAGTGGAAAAAGAAATGATGCGGACACATACTTTACTTGCACTCTTCATCCACTAATTCTACAGGCCCCTTTCATTTTCATATGGGTAAATCACCGTCCCTCTTTGTTTTTGTACCCAAATCCAAAAACTGGGGGCTTCATCTCATTACACAACATCATAATTCCTTGTATTTTTTATAATTTTATTATTGATTTCTCCTGCAATAAAATTGTAGGTTAGATGGTAGTGTGCGATTTACGGTAAACAAAAACGTCAGACTCGGGAGTTTTTATTGTCTTTATTTTCAAGCATGTTTCATTGAGTGACCCCGAAACATCCAAGACAATGACGCCTCCTTTAATTTGAATTTCTTATATAATTAAATATTATGTATATATTAATTAATTGAATGGACGAGAATCACACTATCATAATTGGCGGTGCTTCTTAAATCTCTCAATTTTTGAAAGCAAATGGGACACTCTTTTGGTGGGTTCGTCATCAATATCACTGTTTTAAGTCCTCATCAACTTCATTATTATTCTTATTGTTAAATACATTTCTATTATATTTAAAAAAAAATTAGTTTAAAACCTTATTTAATTCTAAAAATAACCCTAATTAATTTGGTTTAATTAGGATTTTTATTTGCATCTTTTTTTTTTTTTTTTCCTCTAAATTTCAAACTTAATTAGGGTTTTTGTTTACACCCCATTTTCCCTATTTCTTAATTAGGTTTTTTGTTTATACCTCTTCTTTCCAATTTCAAATTTGAAACCGACATTTCTTTACTTTAGATTCAGTAGCAGATACTGAAATTTCTGTTAGAGTAGGCCAAAATAAAAACTAATTGCACATTAATATTTTTGTTAAGGTGAGCCAAAATCTAGAAATTGCACATATTAATATTTAGAAAAAAAATTGAGGGTGGGCCCAAAATTAGTCTGGATCCACCCCTGGACAGATTCATATTCATATTGAGATTCAAATTCATCCAATTATGTGATTACTTTCTCCATAGTATTTAATATATTTTCACAAAACAAAAAATTATTTGAAATACAAAAAAGAAATGATTCGATGATTAAGAAAAATTCGATGTAGGGATTTATGCAAGCATTAAAATTAAAAAAAACATAAAATAGAGAACGAGTGCTTTAGAAAATATTATATCATTAAGGTTAAACTTGTTAAGGAAAAATATGTTAAAAAGCAAGGATTTAAAAAAAAATCAAAATTTTATTTTTTGGCCCTTTTAAACAAAATATCTGCGGCCCAAACTGGAACCAAAGCCTTTTACTAAAAAGGAGTTGGGTTGGGTTTGGATAATGGGTTGAACTGGGCTTGGAAATATTCTGGAGAAACCAATTCCTACTTCATCACCTACTTCCCTACATGAAACCCTAGCCCATAAAAAACGCACCGTTTGAAGCTCAGAGCGATATAAACTATTTCTCTTCCCGCATCGAAGTTCTTTCCATTGCCTAAACAAGTTTAAAAGGTTTTAACACTATACAGGTAAACAGATATAAAACAGCTTCATTCTTATATATGATTCTGACTAGGGTTTTACCAGGATTTGGTGCTTGGTTTTAGTTTATAATTATCTCTTAATATCACTCGTGGTGTTGTTTTTGCTATTTTTAGTTCTGTGCGGGGTTTTAGGTATAAAAGGTAACGAGTCAACTGTCATTGCTGTGAAGTTTTTGCTTTCTGAAAATAAAAACTTCTTTCTATTTTTTTTTTTTTTTTTGAAACACGGATTATCTTGATAATGGCTGCTTCTATGCTAATTTATGTTCATGATTTATAAGGTTTTTTTTTTAGTTCGTTTTTATTTTTATCTGTTCTCTATTACCTGAAACATATCAGTATTCAAGTCCAGTGTTACTCACTGCTTGTTTATGTGATTAGTTAATTTCTAATTGTTCTCTTCTTTTTTCTGCTTGTGAATTGTTCTTGAAATTATTAATACAACTGTTCTCTGCCTGTTTTTAGGAGCATTTATGGAGGAAGGAGAGAACATATTAGGAGCCATTTATGAAGATGACAACTTAGAAGATCTTGAAGATATTGAGATGCTTGATGTAGAAGAGGGAGAGCTTTTGGAGCATGATTCAAGCACACAAACCAATTTGGAGCAAAGCCATGGTGGGGATGCCAATGTTGGAAATGTGGAATTACAAAGTAAAAATCGTAGGCGTAGGGCAAACAAGAAGAAGAATAAGAAAAAGAGGAGTGGTCTAGGCCCAAAGTTTACTGACATAAACAGGTTATGTTTTTAGTGCACATTTGCACACATTTTTCAACTTGAAAGAGGTTGGGGTTTAGGAGTTTTTTGTGGTTCTAATATTGGAATAATTTATGTTCACAGGTTTGTTTCGGATACATGTAAGCATCTGAAGGAGAGAAAATCATACATGGTATACACTGCTGTAGGTTGCCTGGGGGTTTCTGCACTCAGTGATCTCATTAAAGAGGTATATCATATTCCATTGATTCTTTGTCTGTTGGATTCACAAATATATGATGCATGCAGTTTAAGGTTTCTGGTCTGCATTTAAAATTTTCATTGTGGGATGTGCCTGTGCAACTTGTTTTGGTAGAATGTGTGTTTATTTCAATTTCGTTTTGCAAATTGTACCTTTAGGTGGAGATCTGGGTGTGCTGACATTTGTCTTCAAAGTTCATGTGTTATGCACATAGTAGCTTTTCTGTTAGATACCACATTGTACACCTTTCCTCTTCACGCTAATGTCAGTCCTGAATCAATAATTATCATTAGTTCTGAATACTTCTGAGTATGACCTCAGCTTATTTCCTGATCTCTTTGCCTTGTTGACCATATGCTGGTATCTACTGTGTGGCCAGAAGAGGCTCTGGTCCCCCAAGCCTGTAAAACTTGTTTAAATTACTTAATCCCTTGCTTACAACTTTAACCCTTATATTTTTATTTTTATTTTTTTTATTCTTTGGCCCCCATAATTTACTGGTTTTTCAGACACTGGTTCCCCCAAACCTTAAACTCTGGCTCTGCCCTTGTGTTGGTATGTTTACCAATGAAACATTTAGCTGGTGTGCAAAAGTAAGATTCACTTTGTTCCTGTGAGGAAAGGTGAGAATTGGGTTGCAGTTGGATTTCGACCACCCTAGTGCTGACAATGCATATCCACTCTGTTTGAAGCCATACTACCATTCTTGATATCTGATGCTCTATATTTGTCTCGATACACTTGCAGATTTTTCTGGCAGAAGCCATTTTGCTGCTTCAAATTATGTGCTCTGAGCTGAGACATACCCTGGCTGAACCAATTCATCATAATCTTTTTGTGTAGGTTGATATAATTTTTTTCTTCTAGTTTTGTCACTCATCACTCATGTAAAAATACTTTCTTCCATGTAGTTTTCTGAATGTCATATGTAGAAACAGATATTTTGCCGATTTTGATCCTTGGAAAGGTGCTTTACAAATTTTTGATAGAAAAACTGGTTTGAACCTTCCATATAGATGAATTCAGATTATTTGTCATGCCAATGATAGACATAAGTGAGTGTCAAGATTGTTTTGGGCCTTCTTGTTTGTGTTTGTGTACTCTTTTTGTTGTTTGGCTCAACTTAAATTATTTAATAGCAGAACATGAGTACCTTTTTGGTTTCTGGGTCCTCATTTCACCATGTTTGATTTACAAATCAGTACATTTTTTATATAGTTATTTTAATTATGTTTATTGAAATTTTCTTTCATTATACATATTGCACTATTCTGCTGATAAGACATCATATAAACTTTACGTTTGATAAGTTCTGATTTGATCTCTGTTAGAAAAAATGTTGGTTGAAATTTGGGATCGAGCTGTGCAAGTATATCTACATCTTCTCTGAAGCAATTTCTTACAGTAATACGTAGGGAATTTATGGTTTACATATCTGAGCTATTAATTTCTTCTAGTCATGCTCATGCATATTTTTTTGTTCTGATGCTACCCCTCGATTTTGTTTATTGGGGATATTATTTTGTTATTAGATTTTGCATTTCATCTTTGCTGCTCCTGTTTGGTGAAATGCCACTTTTCTAATGGGATATCTGTGATGAAATGTTTAATTTTCAGGTGGATGCAATCCAGGCATGTGGAGGTCAGATGACTGCTGATGGCAGACGTTCCAGAACAGGTGGTGGCATATTATGGGGCATAATTAGAGCACGATCACCAGGTACCTACAAAGAGATAATGAAAAAAACAAAGGAATTTGAGGTGAGTTTATGGAATTTTTTGTATTGTTTATGTATTTTTTACATTTTATATTAATTTTTATAAAAAATTTAAATTTATTATCTCAGAAGCAATTCAAGCAACAAAATAACAGGCAAGCAGTAGAACAAACCAAAGAGGATTCCTCACACCGAGCAGATTTTGCTCTGACCAATGAAATCTCTCCCAGTATTCCAGATGGTTCAGAGATTGTGCCTCAAAATCAGCAGAAACAGTCAAGTGTTGAAGGGAAACACAAATCTGTTCGTGAGAGGATCAGGGTACCTGTATCTTATGATGATCTGCTTGTAGAGGATTCGAGAACTGAGTCACTGTGATTCTCAGAAATATATTATGACTCTGATTGATTTTTGACCGCGTGGAGATACATTTGTGGATACACCTTTATTGAGGCCAGAAACAGAAAATTTTTCCATCTTAGAAAAAGGGTACTGAGAATATTGGCTATTACTTTTTGTTGAAAATAGCTGCTCATTGTTATTGAGGCTTTTGGTATTTAATCTTGAATATATGATTCTTATAATTTCATATTAAGAGATTATTATAGTAGTATGGAGAGCCTTTATCTGTTTTAATTCTTGTCATAGCAGCTCCAAACATGGTTTTCATGCAGTTGAGTTTAGCAGGTGATGAAAATTAACTAAATTGAAATGGAGTGCGAAACATTTAGTCATAATTTGTGTGCAAGTTTGCTATCTTGTTCTAATATTATCTATATGAGTTGGTCAGGATTGTCACACTCTGAGAGTTGTGAACTATATAGGTAATGCCATCAGTGAGACCCTAAAATGGGCTTTTACCATTGTTGTCACCGTATTTAATACTTCTGAATTTATCAAACCAACACAATTGATGGTTTGATAAGTCCAGGAGTTTAATTTAGAATCATAAGATATTATTGTAATTTCCAGATCTGTAGCTTGATCTGTACTGAACCTTGGAAACCCATTTGATCGATTGGTTATGGTTATTTATCTCAAAAAAAAAAAAGCAACTGGAAACATATCATGTAGTAAAATGACTATTAAGTGTTGCAAGATAAAAACTATGGCTGCGCTGCGCCACGGCGTTACAAAGACGTCAAGGTAACTGGTTTTGTTGCCTGTCTTGAAGGTAGAGGCAAACTGCAGTACAATCATCTACTTTTGAAGACGGAAACTTCTTTTTCCATGCCATGGTTGCCGCCTCCACCACAGCTCTTGCAGCTTCCTGTTCGCTACCTGATTCCCATACAATGGAGGCAACTTGGTTGCTACTAAGCACATCGAATACCTGTTTACATAAACACAATCAGGATTATTTTACTGACCTTATAATCAACTTTTACCAGTCATCATGTACTGCACTTACCCCATCAGTTGCAAGAACAATAAACTGGTCTCTGGAAGTTAAGCGGTGATAGGAAACATCAGGGACAGAAATTATGCCATGGTTTTTGAGTAGGAAGTCTCCGAAAGCTCGAGACATTGCCAGGCCTGGGGAGTCCTCATGGGGTAGCCACACTCGCTGGATATGTGGTTCTTCCTTTAAAGCAAGTACTCGCCCATTGCACTTCCTTATTCTTTCTGCTTCACCTGCATTACAAAATCATTGTTATGATTAAATTTCTGAAGAAATATGAAAGAGTCTTGATAAAAAAAAAAAAAAAAAAAAAACAGTTTCTTACTGGGTAAGCCCGGCTTTAAATCAGTTGTTAATTGGACAGCCTTGACTTCTCCCTTCTCATTCACTGTCCCCAACACAGCCCTCGAGTCCCCAAGATTTGCTATAACAAGATCTTCACCCTGATGACAAAGAAGAGAACAATGAATATGAATTTTCCAAAACAGATTATAATTCTAGGATTTCTGTTGTGATTTGCTTTCATTTAATACCTGTCTTATGACAACTACTGCTGTGGTTCCACTGCAAGAACAGTCCAAATTCTCTTGAAGCTTGACTTCCTTGTCCACCACCTTGAAAGCACTAACACAAGCCTCCTGCCATTTATAAAATTCATTGCTTGGCACCTCTTCATCATCTACTCTGTCAATGCGGTTTTGCAAATTTTGGTTATTTGTTACTGTATTCTTTGCAAGAGCATTCATTTGGTCTAGTACCAGAGATGGCAACCGATCTCTCACAATCCTGCTCACGATGTGACCAGTCTTCCCATGACCATCAAAAACTCCACAAAACGCTCCATCTTCCATTCCATATCCCTGAAGAAAACGACAGGTTTAATAACAAAAGCTTGAAGAGCAATAAGGCCAAACATATCAAATCTTGAAGAAATTCGAGAATATATATCATGTTTAAAAAAAATCCAACAAAAGAAGGAGAAGCCGATACAAACCTGGCAAAGAATGGCGGCATCTTGGTTCAGTCCTTTGCTTCCTTGTTTGGAATAAAGAGAACCAAGTTTCTTAGAAACAATATTTTGTTCAAGGAATAACACATTATCTTCATGACCTTTGTTAATCTCAGGTTGATCATGAATCTCTGAAGATGCAGTGGATATGCAGATTCCCATATCAAACAGTCTTTACACAACCTTTCTTAATTCTTCATAGTCCACCCAACTTATAAAACTCCAATGACTCATGAATTAGTCTCTGTAATCATGGATTTAAGGACCCTAAACTGCGCATGTTAGCACGATAATAATTGTATATTGATGCATAAGTGGCTCCCAGCGAGGTCAAATCACACTCTGTTTCAATAATTCTTATTGTTTTTTATGTATGCTTTGTGTAATATTTTAAGACTGCCCCAAGATTCACTTAAAGAGGCATATGATGTGTATCATTAATTATAAGATTAATTAGTTTCTTAACTTAGGCACTATTACTAGCCATGTTAGCCGGTTCAGCTACGTGCATATGCCAATGCTTTTCCCACAAAAGGTGCTGTAAATATGAACTGTTTTGGATTATAGACATAACCATTTCTTAAAAGGAAAAGGATTCTTAGTGGATTAATAAAGAGAGTGTTGACTCTGGGACAACTTTGAAGCGCATTTACAGAGAAAAGTAGATTGGTCCCGGGTAATTGGAATTCGTTAAGAGTGGCTTAACTGTTCGGACAACTTCATGAAAAGAGATGCATACAGTTGGTTGGTCAACCCACCAAAAAGAAAATTTTTTAGCCATTGGATTAATATATAATCTATAGGCTTATAGAGAACAATTATGATTTATAATATTAATGCAAGCATGCACAGATGGAGTAGGACCACTTTTGATGAGTCATGCCCAAGTAGATCTCTTATCAGATCAAGTTTATCAGACGATCATGACCATTTAATCTGTAGACTTTTCTCTGCAGATAAGTGGGTGACCATGATCATGACTTGTTCTCAAAATTTGTTGGATGGGTTATGCCATTGTCAAACAAGTTGGAAGAAGATGACTTTCAACATTATGAAATCTTTAAAGAATTGGTAGAAAAACTTTAGCCACACAGGAAAGGGCAAGAGCGTTGACAGATAATTAAAAAAAACTTTAATGTTTATCATTTAATATGTATTTTTACTAATAAGGAAAACATTCCCAGCACCCACCAGTAACAGAAATCTTGCCGACCATTACAAGCTATCTTGAATTAACAGGATGACTTGATAACTTGATCATTTTTCAAATGAATGCATATTTTAATAAATACGTAGCTTTGTAAAATTGGGTTGATGAGATACTCTTGGCAACTTGGGTGGCTCTTGGTACTGCAAGGAACCATTGACTACATTTAAAGTAATATTAAACTTCATTGAATCTACACGATTATTCCTTTTCTTTAGTATCAATAATTGATCCCATTGATATTTATATTCATGAGGTAAATCATATGAAACTTGTTAGAATAATTAAAGAAGCCCTAATTTCAATTTTCAAGCATAAATCAATGGAGAGATGGCTTATGTTTATACATTTTCAGGTGGGCACTTGTACATGCCCTCAGTTTAGATGACAATAATAATCACAATCCCAGCCTCTGTGATCCTTTCATTTTTTTTTAAGCAAACTTCGTGCTTCTTTCTTTAATCCCATATCAGATCCTTTCACATGTTCAAGGAACTTCAATAATTCAGATTTCAGATAAATTTTATTATTGTAGACTTCATATTCCTGCTGTACAAAGATTGGTATAGATGACTACGAAATCTTATCATGGATTGCAACTTCAGAATTTTTAATATATCCATTATGATTCAAGGAAGCTAATAAGAAGCTTGAACATTGGAGGAGCCTTGTATAGTCCACGAAATGCAAGGGTAGAAGGATAACTCTGGATCCAACAGTATGCTTATGTCATTCACCACATAAAAACTTGGATCGAAAATCTGATACTATTTCATATTTAATAAGCCATTAATAATTTAAAAGAATTCACAATTTGTACACCGGAATTGGAGGGGCCGATCAGAGTATACATTCTAATTCAACAAATTATTTCAACAGAATCTAGAACCATACAAGTGAAAACCAGCTGCTTGGAAGCATAATGAACTAGTAATCAATTTGATAGTTGACATTCTCACTGGCTGGATACAGGAACACTATCTTCACCATTTGTTGTCTCAGCTGCAGGTGACTTCTTTGCAAGAGGCTTGGGTATGTCAACATCATCCTGTGAGCAACGCTGCTGAGGGTGTGATAGCAGCACACACATTTGACGGAACAGGACTCGTGCTGATCCCTGTCCACTTTCAAAGATATAGCCTTCATATTCAGAAACGTGTTCAAGGGCATCAACAAGAGCATCATAGACCACCTGCGGGCAGTTGTCAGGTCCAGGCTTGTCGTGGAGGTACATCACATCCATAGTGAAGGATTTCTGGTTTACAGGCCATTGATGTTGTGGTTTTATGGATGATCTGCAGTATAAAAGAAGCTACATGCAACAGAACATCAGAACCTAAGTTGAATTTCAGGAAAAAATTCAAGCACTACAGGAATGCTATATACAGGTCAATATAATTGCCATCCTATTATGATTTCAAATTCAGAATTAAGTCATTACATAGAGGAAATGGGGAATCCACATATCGGTAAGGTTTAAAATAAAGATGCCTCAAAGAAAATCTTAAAAATAAACGAAATTGTTGCAAATACTTCTTAAACTCCCAGAGGGGCCATAATATTGAGAAATCATATGATTTTCAAGTGAAAATGCACTAAGATTTTCTAAATTGAATACTAATAAGTTTGCACAAGAAGTAAGGTCAATAGATATAAAATTTTGCACTTTTTTGGAACAAAATGCATGGGCAAATAAATACAAGTGCGAAACGACTAAAGCTTACCACCCTGAGAATCCGGTTTTGTGCACGAGATTTCCTTGCTTCATGAGCAGCTAACTTGAAGAGATGGGTGAGATCTGCCTGACCACAAGAAGAAGTGGCCGAGAGCCCCCGAACTGCAGCCATAGCTGACTCTACATCGCTGCTGAACTCTTTCCGATGCTACAACATATCAAATAAGAAACATGGATAATTTCCAATCATTATAAAGTTTCAAAATTTTTGTTCACATTATATCATAAATTATTACTTCAGCAGCATTTTCCATTTAATGTAAGCATGTAACATATGAGTAATGTTATTGTTATAGAACTACGTGCCTCAATTGTCCTTAGCCGGGAGGAGTATCCTATGGACATACAAACAAATCAGAATCAAATATAACTTTAAGATTAGTCTGAAGGCAATCCATAAAATTATGGGTTATAAACGTCCAAAACTCTTAGTTTATTCAGTCATTCATACTGAAGTCATCAACTACCTCTTACCTGACAGATTTTGGCAATAGGAAAAACTTTGAAAGGATATCCAAGCTTGCATAACATAAAGTTTAGGAGAACCTATATTCTATAAATTTCTGCATCTTTATTCCCATTCACAACATAAATTAAGACAATTGCAAGCAAGAAAATTTAATAGATAATAAACAACCTAAAGAACCTTCAAAATAGCAAATGGACAAGTTACAACTTCAGGCAAGTGATATAAATACAAATAAATGACAAGTCGTTTACAAAATGGACAGTTAAGAGGAAATGAGCGGAAACTAAGAAAAAAAAATGTAGAATTGCAAAATAGTTAATTACCCAAGAAGCGGTTTTGGCGAGAGTGGCAAAAGNCCTATACTCTATAAATTTCTGCATCTTTATTCCCATTCACAACATAAATTAAGACAATTGCAAGCAAGAAAATTTAATAGATAATAAACAACCTAAAGAACCTTCAAAATAGCAAATGGACAAGTTACAACTTCAGGCAAGTGATATAAATACAAATAAATGACAAGTCGTTTACAAAATGGACAGTTAAGAGGAAATGAGCGGAAACTAAGAAAAAAAAATGTAGAATTGCAAAATAGTTAATTACCCAAGAAGCGGTTTTGGCGAGAGTGGCAAAAGCAAAACGGTGATCGGGGTTGATTGAGAGCTTGGCATTAACGAAGAGGAGGATAGCTTGCTTGATAGAGTCCAATCTAGTGAATGGTCTCCCATTAATTCCTGTTGATTTCATTTCCACAAGGGATTCACTGTCCACATCTATGCAAAATATTATGTCTTCGTTGTTTATGCGCCTTGGGGGCAACGTGAATCGCCCTGCTACTGAGCTTGATCCTTCTACTCCCTCCATCTCTCTCGACATTTTTGGTCGATTTCTCGGCTTCGGATTTCGGAGACCCCAATATCAACCAGATGAAAGAAACGCAGCGTTTTTTCTCTCTTATGGGAAATTTCTCCCCGAACATTAACCCTATTACTAAAAAGTCCAATGGTTTACAAAATATTGCAACTATTGTCCATAACTAAATGGGTGTTCGGTTCCGGGTATCCTGCGTTTTTTAAAGAAACCGGAACTGACGGTTCCTTGAAATTTGGAACCAAAATCAAAACCAACAATTCTGGTTCCTAGGTACCCAAAATCGAAACCGGAACCTGTAACGACGGTTCCAGTTTCATTTCTGGGTACCCTGTAAAATTCATGACCCCCCAAAAGTTTTTAAAATGGTAAAAAAACCCTTAAAAACTTACGAATATCCCCCACCTGGCACTTATTAACAAAAATAAAATTACAAACTCCATTACTTTATAAATATAGATTCTCAAAAGTCAAACCAACTTATTTTAAATGTTATGAAATATAAATATAAATGTATTCATATTACTTTTTCTACAAAAGTTTTTATTAACCCCTTACTCTTTAATTTTATTTTATATTAGTCTCGGTTCCCGATTCTGATTTTTAACTATAAGAATCGGAACCATAACAGCACAGTAACAGTTCCAAAAATTTAGAACCGGAACTTACTCATTGATGGCCAATTTCAGGTAGGAACCAGAACCAAACTCCAGCTATCTGTCTGTTCCAGTTTCAATCGGTTCTTTTGAACACTCCTAATAAATTATGAAGAGTTCGTCTTACAAGTATATTTATAAAAAAAAATTAAAATAATTTCTTTATAGACATATTTTAATTTCGGTTTTGGGATAAAATAAATTATTTCAACTACGTATTTTTTGTATTTTAAGGTTTAGAAATTCTGAATCGATATAAAAATAATTATTTTATTTTTTGAACCCTTAGAATTGAAATTGACGAAACGGTGCGTCTTATGTTTATCCATACTCCATAGATCCAAACATGACCGTTTTGCCCACTGCCTTTTTAATTTTTATATTACCCGAAATTTCTTCTGCTTCAGTGTTGATCGCGCGGTAGCATCAGCAGAGATTTAGAGGGCAGAGATGGCGTGTTTACATGATCACAGTTGTGAAGATCATGATTGTTCTTCTGATTGGTCTCTCTACCAACATATAGACCTCCCCAAGGTTAATCTTTTATCTCTTATTACAATTTTTATTCACTACAACGAATGAACGATCACCATTTTTTTTTTTTCTTTTTAGTATATTGGTCTTAACTATTACTTAATTCGCACCAGATACTGACACTCAAACCTTTTAAACTGCAATTCTGCATCCTATAATTACTTAAGAGCATCTTATTTGTGTGCCCTTGGCCCCTTCTGGGAGATTAAATGAAATTAGTGGTTGTTTGATATATTGCTGGCTGCATAAACTTTATATTCTTGATTACTTGTGTTGCTATATTTGTTTTGCAATCACATCGTTATTCTGGTGAATAAGGTGCTTGGTTGTATATTTAGTTGATTTAAACTAAATTCTCTTATGAAGAACTTGAAAATATGTTATTTTAGTTGTTTGCTTTCACTGATTTTTTTTTCTTCTTTTTGTTGGATTCATTTGTTGCTTCTTAGGTGTCTGCATTAAATGAGGCTGTTCCAGGAAGTGTTAAGTCTGTCTTTAAAGCGTGGGAGCAACGTCTAAATTCTTCTGGGGTAATTTATCTATTTATTATGCGTGTATCATACATATTACTATTCACACCAAGGATTTTCTACACAAAATCTGGGAATTGCATTTACAGCGAAAGGTGCTAACCATACATCAGAAAGATACTACAAAATATGGCGTGCCGTGGTTTAATTGAGATTTTTTTTTTTGGCAACTCTGAATATTTAACATATATCTTTGTATGATATATACAAAGTAATTAATTGTTGCACGGTATCTTAAAGCTAATTGCTAGTACTCTCTGTGGAGACAGGAACACCTGGAAAGTAATGATGGCGATCCAGAGTTACTTGTTTATATTCCGTGAGTTTTTACTTTTTGTTGTTTTAGAGTCCTTATCTTTTGCAACAGGCATTTTCAAATCAAACTGTTCTAATAGCAGCATTTTGTTATTTTAATATGATTTCCTATTTAATAGAGCTATAGTATCCTTTGCCCTGCGATTTTTCTGTTTTCAAAGAGCTTACAAAGAATTATCCTTTTGTCTGGTTGTGACAGCTTTACGTCAGATGTTAAGATCAAGAGCATTTCAATTGTTGGTGGTGCTGATGGAACAAGTCCTTCCAAGATGAGAGTGTAAAAGTTTAACCCTGGGAATTTATTTCTGATGTAATATGGTCAATCGCTGCAGTTAAACTTAGCTAACCTGTTTTTTAATTAATTTCTTTTAAGAAACTGTAAACAATGCATTGAAGTAAAAGATGAGGAGATACAGTTGTAGTAGACCTAGCATCCACAAATAATCAAAGGGGAATAACTAAAACTACAGTTTATCTCATCCATAGAAGGTAGAACTATCATATGATCCTAGTAATGTAATATTAGACCTTATGTATATTTTTAGCTCTTAAAGTAGGGAACAAAAGGTTTTGCTTTCTCTCTGCACTGCAAAACATTTCATTTTTTTTTTTTTAACCTTAAGATGGAAGTTTTTTCTGCGGCTTGATCATCAAACTATGTTTTGTGTCGGTGTTTGCGTGCAAACATGCTGACTTCAGTTAGATGTTAGCGGTTTGTATGAAGGAAACTCTTGAACTTGGGCCTTCATTTCCATGTCAATGATAATTTAAATTATGATATGAAGTTTGTTTTATTGTTTTGTTCCCAGCAATTTTTCATGAAAGAAAAAGGCATTACCCTGAAATTAAGTCTTCTCTTTAAAATCTAAATTAGGTTCATCAATCGGGATGGAATTGACTTCTCAGATGCACAAGGTATGCAAGCTGTTCAGGTACGCCTAATATTGGCATCTTTTAATGAGTTATTGATAAATTTAGCATTTCAAATTATATGAGATGTTTGTATCATCTGTTTCAAGGAGTGGGATTTGGTGGAAAATCTGCAAGGAGTTTTGGAATACCAGACGAGGTAATCCTTGATTATTTCTCAAACAATTTTATGTTTATAAGGGAAACTTCATTATATTTATTTCATGATGAGAACTATTCAGGTAATCATAAGTAATTCGTGGAACATGGATACCATGTATTTTTTTTGACAAACATCTGAATTTTGTTTCATTATCAGTTATCTTCCAGTTTCTGACAATATATTAGTCTATATTATTAGATATTCCAAATTTCAAAGTGTGGCAAATATTACATTACACTTCCCTGATAATTTTGGAGGTGAAACAACTCAGATACACTACATTGGCTTAAAAGGTGAAGCCACCCAGGTAATTTAATGCTTGACAAGTTTGATGGTTGTATTGTTGCTTTTCTTTTCCCTAAAAATATTTTTTTTCTTCTTCTTTCATGTATAATTATGAACTGATAGCTTCCTCTCTCTGGTTTCTTATTTGTCTCTGAGTAACAGTTGAAGAGGGATGTTGTTGCAACAATCGTTTATGAAGTGATGCCAAATCCTTCTGATCACAAGTAAGTCTAGATTGTCCTTGTCGAATGGTTTTAAATATATGGTATTCAGATTTTTATTCAATCTCTTGTGATTCAAGAGAATGGTGTTCTAAGTTTACTTTTTAGTTGTATGATGTATTTTATTTGGCAGTTTCCATCATCATTATGCATGAATTTTTGCATTAATGTGCTTTGTGAAAGAAATGAATGATTTTGCTCATTACAAGACGTTGACCAGTTTTTATAATTATTTTTTTTTCCAAGATAATGAACTTTTTTTAATTCAAGTGTAGCTGAAAGGTCAGTCTTGTGGGATATTGACGTCACAACTATTGTACACATATCTGAAATGAAACTAGTTAATCAGTTTCATAGGAGACTGACTTCACAACTATAATCCATAATATATCTGAAGAATGTGTTAGTGGGTTGGATCATCAATAGTTCACCTTAGTTTATTGTTGGCGGGTTGGAGCCATCCAAAATGTAGTTTGTGCTGAAGTGATGCTCCATCTTGATTTCTAATTTTGTTGATGTCGGTATTAAACCAGAAAATAGGTCTGATAAATTTTGATAACTTTATTTTCAGCCCCTGATTCAGATTTTTAACACTTTACTGAAGGTCTTTTTATGTGTCTAAGCCAGTTTTCTCACTTAAACTGATGGGCCTGTGCAGGACAAAAGCTGAAACTGGTGGGGGTATTTCACATGTGGAATGAAGAATTCATGTTTCCTCATCAAGATTTGAAGTACTTTTCTGCAGTTCTGACGACACTAAACAAGTTTTAAAAATTGCTGCCAAATATCTTGGTGGCATAACTTACTTGCTTTGACAAATGTTTTACGGAATCTTTTGTTTTCTCATAAAAGTTTTAGTAGTGATGCAACACCAGACTGGACGAGTGTGATATTCATATCTATTTGTCTTTTATTATGCAAATGCCCTTACTACATGACTAATTTCATTCCTGACGTGTCGTCTCTTCAGCCAGTTTTTCTGAATGGTCGCATCAAAATTTTGTAATGGGGAATTTAGCTACAGTTTCAGGGGACGATCACAAATGCTAAAATATATTGACTCCGCATCTTGAAATTAGGCGCCGGGACTGACATGTAAATTCCCAGAATATGTTCTGTCTAAGAATTTATCTCTAAAGTAAATCACCCTAACAATTTTCATTCCTACATGTGCGTCCTCTTTAAATTTGGTCCATTCGTTTCCTTTATTTATATTTTTTATATATTGTTTCATTTTTGAAAAAAAAATCTTATCTTCCCTTTCATATATTCTGATTATCACCTTAATACATTCAAGTATCGGGAATGATACAGTCATTGAAGGTTGTGCACCGATTTCATGCATCGAATGATGTGATAAAATCCTGATCATCATTCAGTTAAAATTAATTAACAGTCAAGATTTTGTCACGTCATTAGGTGTATGAATTCGATGCACTACTTCAATAACTATAGTATTACTCTTCAAGTATTCAACTAGAACTACTACTTCCTAATACAGAAAGATCCAAATCCAATGGCTTTTGACACATATTCGGGCTTGTTCAGGGGACCATCCTTGTGCCATACCATACCCGATATTTTTCACTCCTTATTTTAAGGGATTTATTGAGGTGCAGACCCCCTTTTGAAGTCTTTGCTCTGACATCCGAATCTGTGTTATCTTACTAAAAATATCGACGTGGTACTTTTACTTATTTTTTGACCTTTTACGACAATGGAGACTGCTCACGGTCACGGCGCCACCCCACTTCACTCATTTTTAGAGAACTAGGGTTTTATTCTCTTTTCAATACAAAATTAGCACTCTCTGAAGCACCGAGACAAAGGCTCAAGAAAATTCAAGGCGCTTTCTAGCTTGTTATTTGAAGTAAAATATTCTCTAATCTTTTCCAGTATAACTCTTATCATCAAAGCTTCAATTCTTTTCTTTATTTATTTATGTTTCTTGTCACTGTTTTTGGTTTTGAATTTCATATGTGATATAGCAATATGCATCATGACCCAATTTGTTAATATGATGTTAAAAATCTCTTGCGAGGCCTGAGGGAGGCTAGCTCAACCCAAGCCCGTTTTATAAAAGAAAAATAAATTTTCTTTATAATCCTAAAAGTCGACTAAACAGTAAACACACACATTATAGCCACGGGTCACTCCCCCACTCCAAGCCGACGCCGCAAACTGTCCCAACCACCGCGCGGAAAGCCATCCGCCACCCTGAAGTGACCACTAAGCGCCGATAAACGGCAACAAACGCTTCTGCGGGCAAGATTTTGGGGTTTATTCCATCCAGTAACCTCTGTCAACCGTTGGTCTTTTTCTTTTTAGCTTTTTCAATCTTGACTTTTAACCAAAAAAAAAAAATGTATATATATTAATATTTTCATTTTGAATTAATAGATTTAGTTCTTATTTTAAAATGATATAAATAATCTGTTCATGATGGTGATTCCACAACTAAACTAGGAGTTTAAATATTATATTAGAGTAAATTTGTATGCTATCAATTTTTTTTTTTTTCCCGTGATATCTCTGCTGTTTCAATTTTGTTTGAGCCTAATTTGCATATAGAATTTTGTATTTGTTCGCTCGGCAGTTTATAGTCTCAGTAGTAATACTATCATTCAGTTTGAAGTTGCCTTTAGTGTTTTTCTGTTCTCTATAAAATATCGATTATTTTTCATTTGTTCTTGAAGGATGTTCTTGAAGGAATATTGGGCCAGAGGTGCGCCCTAACTGGCAATTTCAATTAACAATTTTTTAGCTATTTTCAGTTCCCCAAATGGAGCACAATGGAACACTCACTATGATTAGCTTTCTTTTAATTAATATGATTATATTAAATTCAATTTTGCAATTGAGTCCTCATTTAGTTTATTTCATTAGCTTTCTTTTATGTAATATGATTATATTAATTTCAATTTTGCAATTGAGTCCTCGTTTATTTTATTTTCAATGTGTAGGATATTTGTGTGGCATTGATAAAAACCAAGATGCAGGCGTGTAGTGGTGCTGCTGTGAATGGTTCTTTGCAACAGGTCATTTGGGCCAAGAGTTTGCGATTTCCTTCGAAAGGGTCTGGTATGAGCGGATTCCCAAATCAGATTAAATTAAATTCCATGAAGCCATGCAAATCCTCTTACATTGAAGGAAGTTTGGTTACTGGGAGGCCACCATCTTCTGTATCTGTACCTGAAATTGGAGGTACTTGTAGTTTTGCTCTCTGGTTTTAGAAATTGTATTTCAAATCTGGCTGTTCCTTGAATTATAAAGTCCAATGTCAGGTAATGGAAGTAGCTTTGTAGACTATGAACTTAGTGAAGCAGATCCTCAGGTGCGTGAAATTATCAATAAAGAGAAAGAGAGGCAGTTCAAGAGCCTTGAGCTTATTGCTTCAGAGAATTTTACATCCCGGGCGGTGATGGAAGCAGTTGGTTCATGTTTGACAAACAAATATTCTGAAGGATTGCCTGGTAAAAGGTAAACCCTTTTCCATTTCAAGGAAATGTGTATTCAAGTTTATTTGTTTTATTTTTTATATTGTATCTTACGTGAACAAAACATCCTTTTATGTACTGCAGATATTATGGTGGTAATGAGCACATCGATGAGCTTGAAACCCTTTGTCAGAAAAGGGCTTTGGCAGCATTTCACTTGGATGAAAAGAAGTGGGGTGTGAATGTCCAACCATTGTCAGGTTCTCCAGCGAATTTTGAGGTTTACACTGCTATTATGAATCCACATGATCGAATAATGGTTAGTTGCTCTATATACTTTTTTTTTTTTTCTCAATTTCTAATTATGATTATTGTCCTACTAGAAATGTTGAATCCATAATATATTGTTGTAACTTATTTAGGGTTTGGACTTACCTCATGGTGGACATTTGTCTCATGGGTTCATGACTCCTAAAAGGCGGGTTTCTGGCACCTCAATTTATTTTGAATCCATGCCTTATCGACTTGACGAGTCTACAGGTGAAGCTGGTTAATTCTCAAAGTTGCCTAGGATATAATGATTGACAATATGGCTTAGTGGTTGATTAATTTTTTGTTGTATTTGAAACAGGACTTGTTGATTATGATATGCTTGAGAAAACAGCTATTCTCTTTCGACCAAAACTCATAATTGCTGGTGCTAGTGCATATCCACGAGATTTTGACTATCCTCGCATGAGGAAGGTAAGGATTTATTACCACTTCTGCGTTAATATCGGTTAGATAATGGCACAAAAGGTTTCTGCTCTGTGTTTGTGTATTCCTTAGTGGCTAACCACTTGGCATTGGAAGATTGCTGATGCAGTTGGAGCTTTTCTTATGATGGATATGGCTCATATAAGTGGGCTTGTTGCTGCTTCTGTCGTGGCTGACCCCTTTGAGTATTGTGATATTGTGACAACAACAACACACAAGGTTTGGTTTGAATGCTTGAAATAGTCTTGTTGTGCTAAATATTTCTGAATTTAGTTTTCTATAAAATGTTTCATAATTTTTTATCTTATTATTATTATTATTTTTTTTTTTTTTTACTATCATGACATGATAAATTTCTATACTTCCATCCAGTCCCTGAGGGGTCCAAGAGGTGGTATGATTTTCTTCAGAAAGGATCCCATCCTTGGAGTGGATCTAGAGTCTGCCATCAATAATGCTGTTTTTCCAGGTTTACAGGTTAGTTGAACTTGTCTCTTTTGCTTTCTTACCATGCGCCTGAATGATAGTTTGTTTTTGGTCTACATTGGAATTTGCTTCTATCTTCTTTAGTTATAATACTCTCTGTGGGCCATAATGAACACTTATATGTACAGGGTGGTCCTCATAACCATACAATTGGGGGCCTTGCAGTTTGCTTGAAGCATGCACAGTCTCCACAGTTCAAAGCTTACCAGGACAAGGTTATCATACTTCCATGATTAAGATATTTTCTATGGAGTATCCCAACTCAGTGGACTGAATTTAGTTAATTCTTTCATGTAGGTGGTCTCTAATTGCAGAGCTCTTGCAGGCCGATTGATTGAATTAGGCTACAAGTTGGTTTCAGGTGGAAGTGACAATCACCTGGTTCTTGTAGATCTGAGGCCGATGGTGAGTTTTTTGGGTTCTTGATATGATTTTTGAGTTTTCGTATTTAATGCAAGTTTCTCACTCCTTATTTTTTTGCCAACAGTTAGGGGTCCTGAAATATTTGTATTCTTTTTGCAAAGTGATGATTTTAGTCTTAATAGGAAGTTAATGTTAGAAACTGATGCGTTAGCTTACCATATGGTACAACATGACATATACTGTAATTTTGTGTACAATTTTAAATTGTTTATTGAAGTGCTGTTTTTAATGTTATAATATCAGACTGAATTCTTCAGTTTTGTGAAATTGCAATGTCTCAAATTATTTCACTTGACCATGCATAATGTGAAGGAACATATTTGCAAATGATATTTTATACCATTGAATTATTGGATGTAAAAAAGTATTTGCTTTGTTATTGACAGGGTATTGATGGGGCTCGTGCGGAGAAAATTCTTGACATGGCCTCAATCACCCTCAACAAAAATTCAGTGCCAGGTATGCCTTGCTTTGCTGGTCCTAATCATTTATCTTTTATAAAGTCCCGAGTGTTTTTCCTTCTATTTTGCTGTCATGGTACTCACTCCAGCTATTGTTAAATTGTAAAGGTGATAAGAGTGCCCTAGTCCCCGGTGGCATTCGCATAGGATCCCCTGCAATGACTACCAGAGGATTTACAGAGAAAGAATTCGTAGCGGTTGCTGACTTTATTCACGAGGGTGTGCAAATAACACTTGAAGCTAAAAAATTGGTTAAAGGATCAAAGCTCCAAGATTTCATGAAATTCGTAACATCATCGGATTTCTCGTTGATGAATAAGGTATCAGATCTTCGTGGTAGGGTTGAAGCTTTCACAACCCAGTTTCCTATTCCTGGAGTATAAA